CAAATTAACATACTTGGGCTTGCAAACATAATTTTAGGCCACGAATAATCATTTATTCGAATCGGAACAAAATTTAGCGATGTGTTAAGCAATCGTAAGTGGAGTTATAAAGAAGTCACACCTATTTTGAGGCCGGTCAATAGCAATCTATGCACCATTTGTTTTGAGACATGATATAGAGATCATGCTCCAACAACATTTAGTGCAATAAGAAGGGGGTGAGATGAAGAGGGGTGGGAGAGAATATACAAACCACTTTTTAATTAAATTTAATCAAACTATTATTAAAATTATTCATCCATTTTTGTGGAGTTAAACTCAACACCATGGATCCAATGATGTTAATAATGTTCATGATAAAAAATTTAACCCAAGATCAGCCAGAAAATAGTCACAAAATAATATTATATTTTAGTATATACAAAAAGGATTAAAAATAATGTTTAAAAATAGAAATAAAATAGAAAAATATCAACTACGTTCAAATTAATCAAGAAATAAAAAGTAAGACCATAGGAAAATCATAAAAGGGCTCAAATGATTTTATAAATTTTTTGGTAATTTTTTAAAGTCAGAAACTATTTTTAAAATTAAAAGAAATGGGTAAAATAAACCAAAAATGATTAAAAAAAATAGCAAAGTCAGAAACAAAAATAAAATAAGGTCACTAATATTTGTCACAATATCATTGGATCATTCCATAATTTTTTCAGAATTTAATAATGCATAAAAGTTTTTTTAAGCATTTAAAACAATTCAAATAAAGTGTAAATTTATAAAAAAATAACAAAACACAAAATTAAATTGTGAAAAAATTAAAATCAGAAAGAGAATAATCAAAAATATTTTTAATAATTTTTTTCCAGATTTTTTGGACTTAAAATGAATTTTCTATGATTTTTTGAAGTTTAAAACAATTAAATATAAAAAATCAGAAAAGAAAATAAAAGTCAAAAATATGTGGACCATTGGATGAGAGTCCAAACGCGTTAGTAATCAGATCCAAAGGATCTGGCGCGCTGTGCATATCGTGGTCATTAGTGAATAAAGCATAGAATCAGAAATAAAATCTGAATTCGAAAATAACAAGTGGTGTACCATTATTGGTTGGAAGATGACACGTTGGTCATCTTCAACCTCCAGCCAACGTGAATTGTTGGTCTCTCAAACTGTAAAATCAGAAGTTCAGACCTATTCCATTCGCTTCGCCTCTTCAAGACGAAGACAACCACACCCTCGCGCCAAATTTATATAAACTGTAGCTCAAGCAATTTGGAAGGAAAGTTTTTAAAAGGGATTTGAAATTTCATGGTCAAAATGTGTTTCCAGTATAAAGCAAGTGTTGCGACTAGAACCAGGGCAATGAGAGCATCACAATGATATCAAAGTTTTGAAGAATTGATGAAGGAATCTACCTATTGAAGTTGAGTTGTAGAGCTCTGAAACTGGACTTCTATGGAGCAATCTAGGGCACGATTCTTGAAAGTAAGTATATGGTTAGCTTCAGGGAAGATCAAGGAAGGTGAATTGATGAAAAATTGGATTGAAAAAGGGTTGTATATGGATTCTGAAGTTGCTGAATTTTGAGTTATGCAACAAGTTTGGCAGAGTGATTCTAGCTATCCAAGCTTGAAAAAATGAATGGGATAGTTCATGTATTTATAGGATAAGCAAGTGGGATCAAAAGGAAGAGTGAATGATTCATTTTGGAGGGAATTCGTGCAAACCTGATGCGCGAGTGAAGTGTCATCTAATTTTCACCAAAAATCATCTAATCCTTGCGATTTGAGGTGCTAAACAATTCTGGAACTTCACTAAACATGTTTAGAGGAAAAAACGCGTGGAAAACTTGTGATTAGGAGTCAAAACAAAGATTTCAAACTTCTGACTTGGTGAAAAATTAAGTTTCAAAGTGCCAACTTCTGACCAATGGCATTCTCAGCTCAAGGGGTCTTAGGGCATGATTCTTGATGCTTTAGAAAGATGAGGTTACAAGCTTTGCAATGGAAAAAGAATGGAATCAAATGGATGCTTGAGCTAAAAGTTGCATTGATTCAGAGTTGAGGAAAAATGGTTGACTTTCCATACTTAGAAATATTTCAAATTTTTCTTCAAAAGTGACCTATAATGTCTTGCATCCGAACATAGCCTTCCACTTGGAATTTTCTCTTGACCAAAAAAAGATGGCATGAAGTAGATCTCTTGAATGACATTTTGAAACTGGAACCATTCAAAATATCCCTAAATTGAGAAAGTTATGACTTGTTGAAGTTGGAAAAATTTCATAAAATGACCTATAATCTTTTGCATCCTTAAGGCAACTTCCATCCATTTTCTCTATTTGCACATAAAATAAGGCATAGAGTTCACATATTCAACATCATTATGGAAAAATAATGGGCTCAAGGTGATAAAAATTGGCCAAGTTATGATCATTTGAATTCACACATGAAAAATTGGGGATTCATTTGGAGGACTTGTAATCTTTCTTCCTTATCAAGTTTCTTCCACATGAAAACTCCTTGGAACTTTTTAAGTGATTTGTTAATAACCTTTTTAAGAGAGTTATGTCTTTGGAATCACTCAAAAATACCAAAAGATTAGCAAGATATACTCCTTTGAAGTTCAAAACCCTAGCTCCTAGATTAAGAAACCTTCCTTGAGGAACTTTGACAATTTTGAACAAACTTCTTGTATCAAAACAAATTATTTGTAAATATAAGTTGTTGAGGATGATAATGAGAACTCATAGCAACCACAACCACTACCATTATTTGAGAATTGAGAGAAATGTGCATTTGTGACCAATGGGAACAAAGCCTTGTCAAAGCATGACAACTTCTCCAATCAATCCCTTGTGCTTTTCAACCAAATTTGATAACCTTGAAATGTGGTGAACCAAAATAACCTTGCCATGCCATTTCTTCCAAAACAAATCCAATGGTGAGGTTTGAACTTCTCAAGCTTTATTGACTAGGGCATGGAAATAAACTCATGAACCCATATAGCAACTTGCTGAATCTTATTGCCTTTACCTACATGAGTAACAAGCAAGAAAAACCAACATTGCATTTTATTTAATTAAAAGAAGAAATAAAGACAAAAAAAATATTCATGATCACAAAAGAACACAAGTCAAGGTGTTTGGTGATTCTTCAAAAAGAAAAGCTAAATATAGGGAGGGGAACCAAGAACCCTAGTGTGATCTTATTGTAATGGAATCAACATGGTGTGATGATGGGATCTTAGGGGCAAAAATTGGGGTACAACACCCGCCAGTATTAAGATGGCTAGAAAAGGGTGTGCCACTGTACTTATACTCTTCAGTAATAGACAAGGAGATGAGCTCTATATTAGTCCAAGGAAAAGATAAGACTTAGCAAATAGTCTACTCTGTTAGAAGGTGTTGAAAGGTGTGGAGCTGAGGTATCTGAAGATAGAGAGATTAGTCTTAGTATTCAGGATAATGGAAAAGAAGTTGAGGCCTTAATTTCAGAGTGTTGCGTGGTTGTAAAGACAGATTATCTAATCTGTCAAATTCTAAAGAAGCTCGATCTGATAGAAAGGATGCTGTCTTGATCAATAGAGTGGTTAGAACGTGACATTAGTTTTATACCAAGAGGCATCATCAAATCTCAGGTTTTGGCAAAATTCCTAGTAAAGTTCGTATCCTTCGTGGGGAGGAGGTTACACACGTGTGGACTATATCAGCAAAAGTTTCCTAAAAATATAAGTGTTGTGGCATCAGGGTAGTATTGGAAGGCGCATGCAACATTCTTTTAGAGAAATCCTTGAGGTTCGAGTTTAGAGTTAGTAATAACCAAGATGAATATAAATCCCTCATCTCTTGAATAAACCTTGCCATAGAAATGGTTGGTTCAAATATTAGAGCATAAAAGAGACTCTTAATTCATTGCCAATTAAGTAGTTGACGGGTATCATACAGAAGAGGCTTAGATCTTAAAATACCTCTATAAAGGGCATGACTTAGCTAAACATTTTAGGTTCTTTGAAATAATTTATATACATGGAGATCAGAATTCTTGGATAAATCTTTTATCAAAACGCGCCAGTCCTGAGAAGCAATTCCATAGCATAACTATTCTAGGTCGGCCAAAGGCCCAAAGAGCTAAGACCCAAACCAATGTCAATCCACTCCAAATGACCCAAGGTGTAAAAGCTATCACACGAGATATTCAAGGTACCTTTTGCTGATCTCCACTTTTTATTGTAGTTATCTTGAATTCTAAATAGACTTGGGCATTGGAGTACTAACTTTGAAGATCCACCCACGCGTCTAAATAACAAAGATCAACACCACCGATTCAGGATTCCTCACCATTAACGTCAACTAAATTATGGTTCCAGAATTGGAAAGTAATGCACTTTATGGTAATTGACTCATTATTCTAGAGAAAATTCCATGAATGGGTCGTCCTAGATCCAAAATTGAATCCCTGTCAGAATCGATAAGAAATGAAGGCAATTACCTCCAATATCACACTGAAGATCCTTGACCAGTCTTCTGACTATTTGTTGTCTCAATTATTCATCATCAATGAGGTCTGTACCACAATAACATTCAATGTAGAACAAATATCAGAGTACTTCCTCTATATGTCAAATAACCTTTGAACGATAAGCAAATACTGCCTATATCGCTATGAGGTAAATGGAATCTTAAGCATATAGTTATCTTCATTGTAATGATTACTGTTGTGAATCACATAATGCATTGTTATGACCTAAATTGTTAAGTATTATGATCCAATTCCACCACACTTGATGGGTGCCACTAAGATTCACAACATCGATCATTCTAGTGAAAATTGGTCATCATAATGCCTCTTCCAAATGGCAGAGCGATACTTTATTAAGAAACAAAGATTGAGTTGCACTAAGATACTCAAGAAATGATAACATATGAAGAATCTCGAGTGCGGTGCTATAAATGGTTTTGACAGTTTTTGCTTCTGGAAAAACTTTTACACGATGACTCATCAACGAAAGATTCCTAGTGATAAATTACAATCAGTCACAATCGAGCAATTAAATATTTAGAAATTATATTTGAACACACATGATAGTGAAAATCCTTTTACCTTTAACAATTTGATAGCCTACTCTCACAGAATAACGAAGATCACACTCGTAGAAAGGAAGAGTAGGCGATATAAAAGTACCCCAGGTTTCTGGTAACCTCTAAGGGAGACACCATCTAAAACACCTCTGTACAAACATCTTACCAATCTAAACGCCTTACTTCACCAATCCACACAGAGATAGTATAGTAGAAAAGGAAACCAAGCTCGTTCCACACTGATTGGAGAAGGACTTAGTGGGAAAGCTCTTAAGAAACCTTGTCTTCATTCGGTAGCAGTCTTAGAGTAATCCAAATCTGGCCGTATCTCGGGGAATAATTTTCCACATCCCCAACAAGTGTGCTATTGATTGAATTTCAAAGAAATAAGGAGAACTATGTTTACCTCAAAATAAAGGTACTACTTAGTCAACCATTCACAAGATGCTGCCCCTAGGAGACAGTCGAGTCTATATCATTGCAAATTGACGACATCTATGAAAATGTTGGCAACCTTGTATCGCTCGTCGTCTAAAGTTACACTAGCAAAACCGATGGCAGATGAGTGCATCCAACAGACGGATGAAAGGAGGACCACATCAACCGACTGCACAATCAACTAAGGAATAAGTGGAGAAGAGGTAGAATGTACTACCATTTTGACTTCATCGGTGAGCTAAGTATTATGTAAAGTTTTTGCATAACTTCAATAATTGATCTGCTAATTATGAGACACTGTGACTACAAAAGAGTCTTGTAATCCCTTGCATGATGACATAAGTTTCTCTTCTGAAATAGATCTCACACTTGGAAAACACGCTTCAAAGTGTAGCTAGCGCACCCCCTCTAAGGAACTAGCCACTCCATGAGCATAGGCAGAGAAGCCCTGAGACGTCCACCCGAAACCTGTTCAACCCTAGGGGCAAGGACAAGAATGTTACCTTTGGTTGGGGATAGTTCTTCAGAAAGCTAAAGAACCACACTAACTCTTCCCAACTGGAGATAGTAGCAACGGAACTCTAATTGGGACTACAGAGATCGGGAAACACGTCAGACACCATCAACGCCCGCATAGCAAGAAAATTAAAATTGCATGGAAAAAGTGAAAATCCTAGTGCAATAAGAACTCAATAATAAAATTAAGGCGAGGAGTCTAGCAACCGATATGGTGGACTAAAAAACAATAAAGAAGAAACAAAAAGAAAACAAATCTAAATAATGGAACCAAGGATAAAAGTCTATATATATATATATATATATATATATATATATATATATATATATATATATATATATTCATTTTTGCCAAGGTATGAAAGTCTGGCGACCATTAAAGAGAAAAGGAGAACAAGATCAAGTTTCCCCACTCTGAGACGTTGTGCCTTGGTTATCCACTAAAGCCCTATCCATAGCAGCTTTGAAAGGATCTAGTTCTACAAAAGGGATATGAATGATTAGGAAAAACTTTGGCCTGATTCACCATATGGTCGAGTGCTCTGTACACATTCTACACAGTTTGGCAAAAAGACTCTCGAATTCTCTCCTTCAGAGGCAACCACCTCTCCTTCACAAGTTTTCGGATCCTCAACACAAGACTCCTTTTCTTGTTAAAGATCTTTTTGAGCCTCCTTAGTAAGGTGCTCCGCCTTAATTACAATAGTGTTAATGTCCTGATGCTGCTTCTTTTGTGCTTCGAGGGAAGACTCCAACTTCTTAAAAAGTGGATAAAAGCTAAAGTCGTTTACAAAATCACATAACAGAGAGAGTCTAGCATTTATATTGTAATCGTATAATTTGCAAGTTTAGTTTGTTAAGAAGTATTGTCTATGATAATGGAACTCAATTTTCCAACTTAACTGTGGTAGACTTCTTCCACCAACTAGGAATTCAAATAAAGTTCTTCTCGATTGTCCACCTGTAGGAAAATGGACAAGCAGAATTGGCCAACAAAGTAATCCTTTGTGGTATAAATAATAAGTTAGATAATGCCAAAGGTATCTGAAATTTTCTCACCTCAGACGTACAATCATGTTTAATATAGTTTATGCAAAGGTTATATGGTCATATTATACAACACCCCACTCAACCAATAAGAAAATACCATTCAAGACGGTTTATGGTGCAAACGATATGTTCTTAGTTGAGATTTACATCCCCACATGGTGTCGTGAACATTTCAATGAAGGCAAAAATGAATTAAGACTGAAAGTTACCCCTGACATGATCAATGAGGCTAGAGAGATCGCTCATAACCAAGAATTCACGGGAAAACAAAGAGTTGTTAGGTGATAAAACTCCAAGGTGATCCCAAGGGAGATGAAGAAAGGTGATATTATGCTTAAACACGTTGTTGCATCTAGTCAGATCGGGAATATGCTTCCTAATTAGGAAGTCCCGTATCAAATACACTCGAAGTTTTCACATGGAATTTACAAGTTTAAAGAATTGGATGGACAACTAAACCCTAAAACCAGGAACTCAATGAACCTGAGTATACACTTAATAATTGTGTTTCTATTAATTTATTAAGGACATGACTTTTATCCTGCCAATTTATAAATTATCTAAACTCATATTTAATGAATAACGGGGGCATGTTGGCACTTTTTCGCTGTAAGTGTAGGGGCTTTTAATGAGGCGTCGTATTCTCTTGATTAAGTGGCGTGATTTTATGATATGTTGCAGGTTTTGCTAGACCTTCACTAAAGAATCATTTCCGTCATATCAAACAAAATATTATTGGAACTTCACTGAAGGATCCTTGCCACCTTATCATAAAATATACTATTGGACCTTCACTTAAGGATCATTGCCTCCTTATCAAGAAACATACTGTTGGACCTTCACTGAAGGGTCCTTGCCTCCTTATAAAGGAAATATATTATTGGACCTTCACTAAAGGAACTTTGCCTCTTTAGTGGACAATATATTGTTGGACATTCACTGAAGGATCCTTTGTACCTTATCAGGCAGTATACTATTGGGCCTTCACTGAAGGATCCTTGTGGCCTTATCAGGAAATATATTGTTGGACCTTAATTGAAGGATCGTTGCTTCCTTATTAGGAAATATACCTCTAGACCCTTACAAAGGGGTCTTCTCTGCCATAACAGGTCCAACATCCCTCAAAAAGAGCTCATTTAAATTCCAAACACGAGGCCTATGTGGTATGGGTGATCTATCTCATGTATGAATTAGGAACACACCTTAGTACTAATTAGAACTACGAATAAATAAATTTAATAAATCAATAAGGAAAATAACCAAAAGGTAGAATATTTCTATTGTATCCATATAGAGCGGTGGGTTCAAAGATATAGTAGCAGTGATTTATGACTCTAACTAATAAAATGGTTTTGTGTTTGTTATGATGGGAAAAGTAAATAATAAGAAATAAATAACAAAAAGTAAAGTTGGAGATGTCGATGTTAACAATAAGAATTCTTGCTGAGGGTATATTTCATCATTACGTGTCTATCATGCACATCCATAGGTCAATAATATGTTTCTCTACACAACATATAATACTACAACTTGTTATACCCCAAATTTTTCCCCTAAGATTTCTTATCATCTCACTTTTATCAGTACATCAAGATCACACATTAGGGTTGGTTCTCTTTTTTTCTTCTTCTTTATCCTATCTTTAAGTTTGCTCTTGATGGATCACCAAGAATCTTGAAATGTGTATCTTGTACATGTGTTCTATTAACTAACATCAATATGTTTATATATGTTTCTTTGAATATTCATATTGTAGGTGATCATAATTGCATTCATCTCACCATCTAACCTAGGGTTTTGAGGGGTGGTTCTTATTCAAATGATGCTTCAATGGATTGCAAGAGCTAAATCTTCAAGTTCATGTCTATGACATCAAATATTTATGGTTCAAGGATCTCTCACACTTTATTTAGGTCAAGACCTCCTCAGAGTTGGGGGTGGCATTCATCAAGAAGATTCATAGATTCATGTGTTTATTTCCATGCCTTCTTCAACAAGCTTCATTGAGACTTAAGCTCCATCTTTGACTGTTCTTCAAGACAACATCATTTCAAGGCCTCTTATGATTCATCATGCTTTATTTTGGCAAGAAAGTTCAAAGATATTCAAGGTTGGCTCAACAAGTTTGACCTAATTGAGAAAATGCTTGATTCAGTGATCACAAGTGCATAACTCTATCAAGTTTCAACATTTTGAGTTGGTTCTTTTTTATATGGATTCTTATCACAGTCAACAACAACCTCTCTTCACATGACAAGATCCAATTATGCAAGAAAAATCATCAAAAGTTGAAAGGGGTTTCAAGTCATTTTGACACTCTCTAAGCTAAGGTTTGTTGACTTCTAAGGACCATATCTTTCTCATTGTTTGAGATTTTTGATTGGTTCTAAAGACATGATTCTCTTTAAAGGGTCCTTAACAAGCTATCTTAAGAAATATAAGGCTAATTTTGAATGGAAGATCACTAATAGTTGAGAAAGATTACAAGTCTCCTTGAAAGGCCTTTAAATTTTAGGGATTGACTTAAAATGATCATAACTTGGTAAATTTTTATCTCCTTGATCCCATTCATTTTCCACAATAATATTTGGGATGTCTTCTACAACTTTGTTTTTATGTGCAAGACTTCAGGATGCTTGGAAAGTGGTTGAAGATTTGAAAAGATTATAGGTCTTTTGTGAACTTCCCCAAATTTGTTCATCATCTTCCAAAGACCATAAATCTTTAAATTTTTATTATTTTTGAGTGATCTCAATTCCATACTTCAATTTGAGAGAACCACTTCATGTCATCTTCTTATATCAAGATCAAATTTTGAGTGAAATATCATGTAATTTTGAAGAACATTATAGGTCATTTTGAAGTTCAAAACTTAGAATTTTTCTAAGTACAAAACATCAGTGTGTTTTTCCCAAATTCAATTGCAAATAACTTTTTGCTCAAGCATACAAATGATGTCTTTCTTGACACATTGTAAATATTGTAACCTTGTCTTTCAAATTCTTCAAGAATCATCCCATAAAGGTCCATGAGTAGTGAGCCATACATTGTTGAAGGTTGCTCCATGGAATCTGTTTTTGCCTCAAGTGAGAATTTTTACCATGAGTAAACTTGGATTACATGTCAAATTACTCAAGGTTTAGTTTCTAAACATTTTTAACTAATTGTCCAGATGCGTTTTGACAAGAATTGCACTTGATATGAGGTCTTTTGAGGCATTTCAAGTCAAACGTTTGGCATGATCACGGCTTGCTTGGTTTGCACGATTTGCTCACAATTCCTCTAGTTTCTCATCATTATTCACTTCCAAAAAATAGAGGATGATATCCCACTCATTTGACAAGCTTTAGAGAGCCAAAGAACCTCTGTTGAACTCCCTCCATACCTCTCAATTCTGCAACTTCAAATTTGGTTTGAAAGCATCTTTCCATCCAATTTATTTGATGATTCTTCATCTTTGAACTTCTATGAATCTAACAGAAGAAGAACCAAGCCTTGAGGTGTCATAAATCGTGCTAGCCAAGTCCAGTTTCAGAGCAAATTCATCTGACTTTGTTCAGGTAGTTTGAGGCACCAAATCTTCTAACTCAAATTACTGGAATGGTTTATGATATTCACTGATGCTTGCTATTAACTCAATTTTGGTGAATCAATGCAGTTGATGCTTTTGTTTTTTGATTTCAAAATTTTCAAAACTCTCTGGTTTTTTTCCAAATCGAGTAAGATGTGTTATATATATATATATATATATATATATATATATATATATATATATATATATATATATATATATATATATATATATATATATATATATATATATATATATATATATATATATATATATATATATATATATATATATATATATATATATATATATATATATATATATATATATATATATATATATATATATATATTTTTTTTTTTTTTTTGTGGGGGTAGGCTTAGGATCGTCTTTGAGAGATGAATCAAAAGATACCACTATCAGTTTTTGATTTTTCCATTTGAAGAAACTCACAAAAAGCCAATGCGCAGGGGTCTGGAGGTTGAAGACGACCTATGTGTCGTTCTTCAACCAACGATAGTGTGACATTTGTTTTAATTTCATTAGCCCCGTTTTAATTGATTGTGTGTGTTTCTCACTAAGGTCCATATCAAGCACAATCTGCCAGGTCCTTTGGATCTGCTTACTAACGTGTTTTGACTATGATCAATGGTTCGTATTATTTTGTCATTATTTTTATTTTCTGATTTTTGATTTAATTATTTTAAACTTCAAAAATTCATAAAATATTCATTTCAATTTCTAAAATTCTGAAAAAAAATTCTCAAAAATACTTTTGACTTTTATTTTTATAATTTTTATTTTTTCATAATTTTATTTTTATGATTTAGTATTTTTTTATGATTTTTCACTTTATTTGAATTGTTTTAATTGTTTAAAAATACTTTTCTTGATTTTTAAATTCTGGAAAAAATATGGAATGGTCCAATGACCTCTTGACAAATATTGGTGACCTCAATTTATTTTTATTTCTCATTTTTCTAATTTTTACAATTTTTGGTTTATTTAGCATATTTCTTTGAAGTTTAAAAAATAGTTTCTGAGTTTAAAAAATTCTGAATTTTTTTTCCAACACTTATTGATTCATGTTTGACCTCTGACTATTTTTTTAGGATTTTAATATACTTTGTGTATTTTACCAATTATTTCCCTTTTATTAATCATTTAAATATTGTTTTATTGAATGATATTTTATTATTTTTGTTTGGTCCTAATTTGAGTGTTATTTTGGGACAAGTTCCTCAACCTCATTGGATCTTGGTTGTTGATAGATTGAAAAATCAAATCCACCAAAATGGATGAATGATGTTGATGATATTTGAAACCCTAATTTCATCTGATACATCTCATCCCTCTTCATCTTATCTCTTTCTTACATGTGCTACATGTTGTTGGAGAATAATCTACATATCATTTGTTTAACATGTGGCATATAGATTGCTATTGACCAGCCTCAAAATAGGCGTGACTTCTACATAAATCCACTTACGATTGCTTAACATAGCCTAAATTTGTCCCGATTCAAAAAATGATCATTCGTGGATCAAACCTATGTTTGTAAGCTCAAGTATATTTAATTTGAAACCTTTGATCCAATAACCTTGAGGTTCATTGTTAGGAGACTTTGATCTTATCAATCATATAATAAACTTTCATGAATTTTGGTCTAAGTGAA